TCCTGTTGCGGTTCTCTGCTGAACCAGTAGCTCTCGTTGCCGACATCAGTGAGATGTTTATGCAAGTAGGGCTCAAAGAAGAAGATCGGCGATTCACTCGGTTTCTGTGGCGTGCCAGCCCAGACGATGATATGCAAGTGTATGAGTTTAACCGGTTGGTCTTCGGCCTAAGAGCATCGCCCTATCTCGCCGGCAAGGCTCTACTGCAAACAGCACAAGATTTCGCGACCGACTCGATGCGCAGCAACGACCTTGTCCAAGTGGTCGAGGAGAGCTTCTATGTTGACGATCTTCTGGACTCCTTCCAGTCAGCTTCTGTGGCAATAGATGCCCAGCAACAACTGACACAGCTACTACAGTCTGGTGGTTTCAAGCTTCGCAAGTGGCTAAGCAACTCTACTGAGGTGATTGAGTCCGTGCCAGAAGCCGACAGAGCCCCGCAGGTGTCCCTGGATGTCAACAGTAACCAGCACTGCACTCTACCGTCGTCTAAGACCCTGGGCGTCATGTGGCTTGCTGACAAGGACGTATTTACCTTCCGATATAAGGCACCAGAGGCGTCCCAGCAATTAACCAAGCGATACGTTCTACGACAGATGGCAATGATCTTCGATCCAAGAGGTCAGCTCACACCGTTCACGATGCGTGCACGAGTACTGTTTCAGGAGGCATGTGTCGCTGGATATGGTTGGGACGAGCCGCTGAATGACGACGACACGGCTCGTTGGAAGCGCTGGCTATCAGAGTTACCCGACCTGGCACAGATCCACGCTGACCGATGTTTCAAGTACACCGATGCGGATCCAACCTGCGTGAAGACGGAAGTTCACACGTTCGTCGATGCATCGGATGCAGCTACAGCAGCAGCCTGCTACGTCCGTACTGAATATCCAGACGGACGCGTGAAGGTGACACTGGCATTCGCTAAGTCACGGCCAACTCCTATCAAGAAGCTAAGTATCCCGAAGCTCGAGCTGAAAGGAGCAGTCCTTGGAGTACAGCTAAGTAAAGAGCTGGAAGCAGCGCTGAAGATACCATTGACGGAGCATCGTTTCTGGACGGACAGCCTCAATGTGTTGTACTGGCTGAGATCCCACAGCCGACGATTCAGCACAGATATCGGTGTAAAAATCTCGGAGATTCAACGTGCCACATCACCCCTGCAATGGCAACATGTGCCCGGTAAGATCAACCCGGCAGACCTACCCACACGAGGAATGCCAGCCACCTCGCTAGCAACGAGCAGCACATGGTGGACAGGACCAGAGTTTCTGTCCAAGCCATCGACCGAGTGGCCGCAACGCGATATCACCGTCCCAAGCAAGCTTCTAGGAGAAACTAAGCGACACCAAGCGTTGACGTTTGTCGCCGAAGCCACGGCATCTAGACTGCGTCCCGAGAACTTTTCATCCTGGAACCGACTGAAGCGTGTCACGGCTTGGATAATCCGGTTCTCCTCAAACTGCCGAGGTGCCAAGAAGGGGGAAGAACCTGAAGGCAGTGATGCGGTCTCTCGTGTAGCTGTGTCGTCGGCAGAGAATGTAGCAGTTCCCGAACTGTCGGCAACTGAAATACAGCGAGCAGAACGGCACTGGATCAGCGTTGCCCAGCAGGAGTGTTACTCGGCCACTATTTCGACCTTACAGCGGGAGAAAAGTGTTAAGCCCTCAGACCCTTTGCTCCGGCTCAATCCAGTCCTAGACACCGCTGAACGGCCATTTGTACTACGCGTTGGAGGCAGGCTGGAGCAGGCATCAGCAATGTCGGAAGGTACGAGGCAGCCACTGATACTGCCGTATCGGCATCCAGTATCTGACCTCATCATTGCCAATGAGGATCGCAAAACCCACCATGCCGTCGGCACGAATCATCTGTGGGCCAACCTGACAACTTCGTATTGGCTGATCAAAGGCAAACAAGCGATCAAATCGCATCGCCTACGATGTAATGGCTGCATTCGGCAGTGGAGGAAGCCTGCAGACCAGCTCATGGGCCAACTTCCTGCCGCTCGAGTTGCTATGACGAAGCAGGCCTTCCAGCATGTTGGAGTGGACTTCGCAGGCCCATTCCTAACCCGTCAAGGTCGTGGACGCTCACAATTGAAGCGCTATCTCTGCCTCTTCACATGTCAGGAGACACGAGCATGCCATTTAGAGATGGCCTATGACCTCTCCACTGAAGGCTTCCTGATGTGTTTTGACCGATTTTGTAAGCGCCGCGGAGCACCACGTCTGGTAGTGTCAGACAACGGCAGAAACTTTGTGGGTGCAGAACGTGAGCTGCGTGATGCCCTTCAAGCTATTGACCGAGGTCAAGTGGTCACCCGTACAGCGACACAGCACACGTCGTGGACGTTCAACCCGCCCCGGGCACCACACCATGGCGGCTTCTTCGAAGCGCTTGTCCGGTCAGCCAAGCGAGCAGTGTTTGCTATACTGCATTCTGCTAACTTCACTGATGAAGAACTGCAAACTGCCTTTGTTCAGGCAGAGGCCCTGTTAAACAGCCGGCCACTGACTACAGTTGGATCAGATGCTGATGATCTCGCCCCGTTGACACCTCAGCAGTTCCTCATTGGCCACATTCAGGTGGAAACGGCCATAGAAGCGGCACAAGCTTCTATGACACCAGCACACCCGCAGAGACGGTGGAAAGCTGTGCAGGTTGCTGTGGACCACATCTGGCAACGCTGGCTGAAGGAATTTGTGCCCACACTTAATATCCGACAACGTTGGAGAACGCGCAGTCGCAACATAACGGTTGGCGACATGGTATTGTACATGGCACAGGACACGCCCCGTGGAATGTGGCCTCTCGGCAAAGTGGTGGACGTTTTCCCCGGAGCAGACGGTCTCGTGCGTGTGGTGGACATCCTCGTCAAAGGCAAAACGTATCGGCGTCCGACCAACTTGCTGGTTCCACTTGAGGTAGAGCCGGAGGTGCCTGCCAAGTAAACTCTCTCTCTCTCTCTCTCTCTCTCTCTCTCTCTCTCTCTCTCTCTCCCTCTCTCTCTCTCTCTCTTTCTCCTGTTTACATCAATGATCTCTCTAATCTTAGTTCTGCTCTCATTGATCATTCTCCTTCCACCATGCCATTCGAGCAGGAAGGGGGATATGTACAGTCTATATCCAGCCCACTGATAATGGTGCAGAGCCACTCCGTTTTATGTGTCTATCAGTACTGCTTGTTGTACTGTTGTGCATTATCATACTACTACGCATTCGTTCCTCATGTTGTATTCACGTCAGCTGACGTCTGATGCGCGTAGTCGCGTACACTGCTTTCATTCTTCATGTTGTATTCACGTCTGATGCGCGTAGTCGCGTACACTGCTTTCACTTCTCATGTTGTATTCACGTCTGATGCGCGTAGTCGCGTACACTGCTTTCGCGCGATCTTTTGATTTGAATGTTTTTGAATCTCCGCTTCTGCTTCGAGAGAGGCAGAACTTGCCTTTGTACTGCGAGATGATTTCGAGCAGAGTCAGAGTAAAACATTATAATACAGTCTTCTAAAACAACGAGTCGTGTGCTATCCGGAGGCATGTTCGAGTAAGAACAAGGAGTATTATTATTATTGTTAGGTACCTCCTCCCGTACCTTTTCTAGCTGGCCTGCATGCACTTGCGTACTCATCTTTTGTCTCCTTTTGTTCCGTTGGCCTGGGTAGCTACTTGCGCGCCCATATTTGCCATAGCTACCCAGGCCCTTTATCTTGCCGTTCAGACTTGCGCTCTTTTCCCACTCGTCAATAATCACCATGTAGTCGTTTCATTTGTCTTGGTCTCTTGTCTCGTCGTCTATAATAAATGTCGTTCCCCCAACCTACCTGTTCCGGTTGTAATGTCTTGATATGTCGTCAGTCGTCCTGTTTCGAAATCAACATTGGCGCCCGATTATTGAGCGGCCCACGACCGTGAGATCATCCCATGCCCAGCCATCCTCAACCGCCATTCGTCTCGTCTATGTCAACCTCGTCTCGTCCATGTCAGTCTCGTCTCTCCTACGCCAACCTCGTCTCGTCTCTATCAACCTCGTCTCTCCTACGCCAACCTCGTCTCGTCTACGTCAACCTCGTGTCGTTCAAGCCATGCACGTCAGCTACCTTTCTCTTTTTTTGTATGCGTTCCTTCTTCGTCAAATTTATTTTCGTGAATTTTTTGTAGTGTGTGTGCGCGCGGATGTCCTTCATTAATACTAGGGGTCCGATCATGGTGAGCCACGCTCTCTTATTTATGTCGTATATTAAAGTGTAACTAGGCTCTATTAGCCGTGCAAAATACTAGTCATCAGAATACAATTCAAGTCCCTCGTCGAACTCCAATAGTTATTTTTTTGATTTTTTGTGCCAGGTTTTGAAGGGGCGTTTGGGCCCGTTGTTATTGGCAATGTACACACTATAGTATGAGTAGTACAGGAACGTTGACGGTTGTAATGATCTGTAGTGCATTTTTTTAGTACACACTTTTGTGAGGCCCTTGCGTTGTGTGTGTGTGTTTTTTCTCCTTCAGTCATTTTTTAAATCTTTTTCTCTCTTTTTTTTCTCTCCGCGAGGACGCGGGATTTTTTTTCATGGAGGGGTGGTATGTTAAGTACCTCCTCCCGTACTTTTTCTAGCTGGCCTGCATGCACTTGCGTACTCACCTTTTGTCTCCTTTTGTTCCGTTGGCCTGGGTAGCTACTTGCGCGCCCATATTTGCTATAGCTACCCAGGCCCTTTATCTTTCCGTTCAGACTTGCTCTCTTTTCCCACTCGTCAATAATCACCATGTAGTCGTTTCGTTCGTCTTGGTCTCTTGTCTCGTCGTCTATAATAAATGTAGTTCCCCCAACATACCTGTTCCCGTTGTAATGTCTGGATATGTCGTCAGTCGTCCTGTTTCGAAATCAACATTATGTTTGATTAGTGAATGGTTTAAAACATACCTAGAGGCAACTATCTGGGCACTTTTCATGTTTGGTACATGCTTTGTTCCTCCATTTGCCTCTCTATGTGTTCAGCTCAGATATCAGGACAAATGTCAGATGCTACACAAGGAATCACTATAGGAGTATTCATCGGAAGTTTGGCAGCAAGCCTGCTACTCGGTGCACTCATTATGTTCCTGTTTGCACAGTTTGTACAGCGAAAGCGTCGCTCAACACAACAGGACACTAACAGAATGGAGATAGGTCCCGAGACCCCAACACGTGCCACACCTAACATGGCGTATGAAGATGCAGAGATAGTGGAAACAACGCTCACTAGCAGTGAAGCATACGGAGTCGCTGGTACTGCAGACCCGCACAATTATGAATTTGTAAGGCCTTGAAGCTTACATGTACGTGAGCTGATTCTACTGTTCAACACTTTTGCTGTCAACATTCACACGCCATCGCTGTTTGTAACCGCACCACCCACTGCTTCCTTGTGTTTAATGAAACTGCTTTCACTCGAATAAATCGCATCGTCCAAACTTCTCACTGCCAGGATTTCATGCCACCATGTTAGTCTTATTTCCTTGCGAGTGAAATCTTTTAAACCGCGCCGCGTGTGGATTACACACCGTGCCTTTCGAAGGTTGTACACACAAACGTTTAGTGTGTCTTAGGATATTCAAATACAGGTACCTGTACAAAATGCCTGTTAGTTCGCTTTGTTCTAATTCATCATTGAACAGTTCGAACCCTCTTCGCCTGCATAGTATGACTGGTTCCAGCATGATAGACCTACTCAAAATCAATAACCATTTCCTGCTTCTCGTTTTAGCAGACTTCTTAACTCACCTGTGTTTATGGCATATTGGGCTTTTCGCTTGACCTGTGCTGTGACACCTTTCGCTTTCAAGAAAGCTCTTCGAAAAGTAATTCTCTTTAACGCCCCAAACTTCACGGATATTTTGTTCTCCTTCTTCTTCAATCTTCTTGCATTCGTGCTCTCGGTCCATGTTTGGATCAATCCTCACTTTCTTGTCTTGGCTATTTTCATTATAATCATGCCTTCAAGTCCAGATAGTAGGTAAATTTCAAAATTATTCCTTGCGTGTTTCCAGTACCTCCATTTCCATTTCATACGTTTCCCATCTTTTGAATGAAGAGTTGACACTTGCACATGAGCCTCTGATGTCTTTTTCCTAGTACTATTTTCATTCAGAAGTGAGGTGTAGGAGGAAGATCATGGCACTCATAGCCTTCATTGCCGATACTCAATGGTAGGCTATTGGAAGATGGACCATGACAGCATTGTTCAGCAAACTTGAGAACGGTTTGAATTGAAACAGGCGGGCACTGTAGTATGATCCGGCACCTGAGCAAAGAAAAGGTGCCACGTTCGAGACCTGTGTGGAAGTGGAAAGATACATTTCTGACCACTGTTAATTTACAACTTGTGGTCTTATGGCTGCAGTGAATTCGTTTTGCCGGCTTTCCCCAATATATTGTAGGTAAGATTAACTATGCCCCCCCCCCCCCCTAAAGAAAAAAAACCCACTTTGGAGGTTGCTTCTGCCATTTGATGTTGGAAAGTGGTGATGGTGATGAGATTCTATATCACAAAAGAAAAAAGTGTGTCAATAGACAACACTGTTCAATTCTCATGTCATGCCCTCTTTAATCTGGAATGGTGTCTGTTATTTGCAACTACCATATTACCCCGTTGCACTCTCCGGCTGACCTCAATGTTGCCCCAGCACACCATCAGTAAAGCGAAACTTCAGTTGGCACATTGCTCTGTCAGACAGCAGCTGTTTTGATCACCGGAATCTCGTCAGCGAAGGTTGATAATGTATAAAGGCTAACAGATAGTGAACTTCACCTTTCAGTAGCAAAAAGGGGAAACACACTGGTGCATCGTAGGCGTGAAGATTAGGGCTAAGCAAAAGTGTTAATGCCATAGACAACATTGAGGAGAATGTGATTGAGAGTACATGCAGTGATAGCCATGTGTGACTTCGATAGATGGCACAGCATAGCTAGTAGCGACGCCAGTGGCCCATGGGGCCTTCTCTCTTTCCATACGCCCACCACACAGCACAGCACCTAACCATAGCCAGGTCACAGCCATCCTTTAAATTCAATGATAATGCAGTAGCTTAATAATGCAGTCCCGACCACACGCTCACAAAATCTCATCCGACAGGCCCATTGGGCATTCGCTCTTGAAACTGCGCCATGGATTGACATACGCCTGCAGTTAAAATTAGGGCGTCACAGCTATTCCGAATCTACATGAAATGTCGCTGCCGATTTTAAGTCATTCTTTTTCAGTCTCCTTGTCTCTATCACCGTCTGCTACATGTACATGACTGGCACAAGTACGTATAACCAAGATTGGCAAGCAGCAGTCAGCCTTATCCAGATTATTATCAACCACCACACCACACCGTTGCGCACTCCGGCCGACCTCAACACGTTGCCACAGCACACCAGCAAAAACGACATTTCAGTTGGTAATTTGATCCTGCAGACAGCTGCTGCGTCGATCATCAGGATCTCGTCAATGAAGGTTGATGATGTGGAATGGCTAACAGATAGTTCATACTTGTCACGTGTCTGTTGTCCCGTCGTTACTAGCATCCGGCCTATAAGCGCAACACCGTACCCGGACATTATACAGTCGGTAATGCCCGGGTACGGTGTACCCATGCACATTAGCAATGACCTCAGTAGTACTACGTATGTTGGTCCACTGCCAATTATGTACCAGGCCATGCCAAGGGCCTTGACCTGGTACGTAATCGGCAGTACAGATAAAACACCGTGGGACCATTCCTAAGCACACCACATGCACTCGAGTTAACAGGCGATGACGCCTTATCACAGGAAACCATAGGTTTAAATTGATGCTATCCTTACTCGCTGGACGCGTCTAGTCAGGTCGCTTGCAAACCAAGCAAGTGCAGTGCAGTGTAGGCAATGCCAAGCATATTCCAATCGTAAACGAGCTCTTGATGCTTAGCTCATATCTGGAAACACTATGCCCCAGTACTCGTTGTTATCAAGGGATTTGAGACATTCGTCTACCACTAGCATGCACTAATCAGTCCTCACACGAACTGTTGGTACGATAAGCAAATTGATTGTCAAACACGTACATGATGCTGTGTAACTTAAAGAATGCAAGCAGCTGCTTCAAGACAATTAGTTCTAATATCTTGCTGCATATGGGCAATAATGAGACTGGACTCTATTTGGTAGAGCATTCTGCATCACCTGATTTGAAACACTAGGTTGGCTAAGGCATTCTTGAAGACATCTGGTACGCGGCCTGTGCTCACTTCTCTGGCCTGTTGTCCGATGGTGCTAGTCATAAGATTTGCCCAAAATCATATCAGCGGTAGTTATCCAGGACGTGTTTATGCTAAGAGGCCTGGGGCAAACAGGGAGGACAACTACCTGTCATATGGTTCCCCCACCTGGCTAATCAAATCTATTCCTAGCCTAGTGCTCACAGGTAGGCTTGAGTTCAATACCTTTTGCTAACAGCAGGTGCCATCTGGTCGCTGTAGCCATTTTGCTCTTCTTCTTTTCTTCTTTCCCTCTCTCTCTCTCTCTCTCTCTCTCTCTCAGGTGTTCGCATTCTTGTAATTGGGCGTACTCGTCCGTTTGAATCACGAAATAAAATAAGCGGAACAACCACAGCATGCGTTCGCATTGCAGAGAGTTGCGCTGACTTAGAACGAGGATGGTCATGTATTCGCCAACAAAGAGCATAACCAGTAGTTATCAGGTAGTCCTACTTAGCGGGATAAATGAATAGATCATCTGACAGCAAAGATAACAGCTACCTTTCATGTGGTATTGCCAACTGCCTGCTTCTGTCTATTTAGAGACTGAAAACCTCAAAAATCGCATGAATGTATAATACATGTTAGTCATGTACTGCGCAACACTGGCTTTGACTGGCTTCTGATGTATAATTCACTAGTACAGCTGACTGCATTACTGCATTACCACAATAATCGGCTGCCGAGCCTGCTCGAGCCTTTTTGATTGTATGTGGCCAGTCATGTACATGTATATTCCAGGTGCATAAACATGCAAACAATAGGACATGATACAAATGTTTTCTGCGTTCATCGATGGGAGGACTCCTTTATCAATGGTCAATGATATTCGCCAGGTAGTTAATGCGACACCAGGTAGCTGTTGTGGCCGACACACCGTGCTAGATATACTTCACTTGACTTGGTAGCATCTTCTTGGCATACATGTACAATGGATTTCGGAGGGAACTGGAATGACCTGCGGCTGTACTTGAGAAGTAAGATTAATTCATTTTCAGGTAGGCAGCATGACTGTTATTTCCGAGACAGAATGTTCGAATTGGTACGAGGTTTAGGGTCTGACTGGACACAAAAGGATCACCCCCATTCCTACCATCCAAATTAAAATAATATCGAACTCGTTCCTACCATCCAAATTAAAATAATATCGAACTCGTAGCATGACGAAAGGCAAACCAGAATGCACGTGTGATAAGTGTGGGCACAGCGAGGGCATAGGTCCACCAGCTGATGTCTCCCCCGGAGGCGTGAGTTTCAGAGTCCGAAGGAAGTGTCTTATTAAGGCAACGCCATACAACAGTTGCTTGAGTAACGCTTGCTATTATTGACAGTGCCTAGAAACGACTAGAACGTCAATAGCTGCAGGACTCTGCGAGGTTTGAAAACATGTTGAACGCATGGAATTCAAAGCATAGCAAGGTATTTTTTGCGTCGTGGAAGCGTTTCTGAGCCGAATATACAGCCGAATGCAGATTTGAGCAGATTTGAGAATGACGATCGACAATCAAGGCCAAACTGTAACGATATGGTAGGATCTAATACACGATTTTTGCTGAAGCACAAGCCAGACTTGAAATTGAAGTAGCTCGCAGCACCATGATCGGCGGGTGCTGCTACGCCTTTGCACAACTTCGGGATAAACACATTGCTCAATCCAAGAAAACTTACGGAAGCAAGATTGTGAACCATGGTACCCATGCGCACAGCATTCAAGATAGAGATTTACATGAGTTCAACTTTGAGTGTCATGTAGAATAGAAGTAGAAGAGATTATATCGGTTTCCATTCTCTCCAAGATGTCGATGGAAGAGTTCTTCTACCTATGTGCATACAGAACAAAGCATAACAGGAGGCTGCAACTTGCGCATTTCGTGTAGTGTACGAGTACATGTACTAGTATGTGGGAAAGTACACAAGATGATCAGTCATAGCATCTACTGATGTGAACAGCTGGTATACAGACGACAACAGACCCATCCTGCTGTCAACTGTCCACAACAACTTGTTCAACTACAGAGATACGCAGATTTAGCTACTACTATCCAGTGTTGATTTGATGCTACTTTTGCCACTGTCCTAATGCACATCTCCAGTACAAAAATAATGTAGTAGTTTACTAGTGGGCTTGGTGTATGCAACAGCTCAGATGTAGATCAAAGTTGACGCAAACTTTGACCTAGTGAAAATCAGAGCAGGTATTTGGTGCTCGATTTGGATTCTATTGCTCTCTACTGAATCAGTCCTTTTGGCGACATTGCAAGCCACAATTTAGAATGGCCGGAAAGTGTAAGTGAGAATTTATTTAAATATCACATTACGTAAAAGTATGAACTTAATTTGCGACATCGGCCTTATTAGTGATGAAGTTGGTAGTTCTGCCGAGTAACACAGGCTTCCTGCCGAACTTAACACTCGCTGACTCACAACTGCCATCCGGAGCACACGAGGAGCACTTCCCTCCTTCCAATCCGCAAACCTGCAAGAAAGCACCAAATCCTGCTCAACACACAGTGTTTCGGGGAATTCACCCCTCATCAGTAGAGCTTAAGTAGGCAGAGGAAGATTGTGCCTGAAAAGCACCACTTATATACATGTACTGTTCTCCATGCCAAACCATCACCATGGATACAACCTTGCAGAGATTCTTCGTTTCCAGCGCGACAAACACCTCGTGAGGGCCCAGGTAGACGCGTGAGTCAGAGTCGCTCTTGGAGTTTTGCTGAACAGACGTTGAGAGCTAGTAGCTATTCACAAAGCTGTTACCTCTAACAACTAGTCCCACGCCCGCCTGAGGAGTGAGGGACAACAACATGA